TCAAAGACAAAGAGCAGATCTTACAAAGAACCAGAGACAAAAGACAGATTATCTTAACAGGAACAAGAATTAGACTGACAACATGATTTTCATCAACAATAACAGATGCCGGAAGATAATGGAAATAAAATCTTCAAAGTACTGAGGGACAAAAACTGCCAGCCTAGAGCTTTATACTCACTAAATGATCATTCAACAGTAACAACAAAATAAGTGGTTTTTAGATAAACACTGAGGATACCACTTACAGATCCTCCCTAAAAGACTTAAGAAAGGAAAACTGACCAGAGGGGATGGAAGAAGCACTGGTAAGCTAGAAAATGACCAACAAGTTGGTAAATGACAATAAAAATGTTATCCAAACTAAAATGCTAAACAACAATAATGTGAAAGATGAGAGAAGGGGAAATTGAAATTAAAGTATAAGGTCTTATATAGTTTTGGAGAAGAATGGAAAAATTTATTAACTTTAGTATTTTAAAAGTAAATATGCATTTTAAGAATAAAACTAGTGGGGATCAGCCCTGTGGCTGAGTGGTTAATTTTGCACACTCTGCTTCAGCGGCCCAGGGTTCACCAGTTCAGATGCTGGGTTTGGACCCAGCACCACTCATCAAGCCATGCTGTGGTGGCATCCCACACAGAAGACCTGGAATGACCTACAACTAGCATATACCGCTATGTAGTGGGGCTTTGGGGAGAAAAAAAAAAGGAAGAAAACTAGTCCCTGCTCTATAGAAGCTTATACTATTTGGTGTTGGGACAAGTGATATCAGGCAGGGACACCCACGGAGCTAGACTGCCATCAAGGAAGGAGGGACTGAGGACATTAGGGAAGACTGCAGAAACAGGACATTTAAGCTCTAGCCTGAGGGATGAGTGGCTGCTTTTTGAAGAAAGAACAGCATTTTAGGTTGCGGGGATGGACTGCAGGTAGAAAGCTTGGAATCTTGCAAAGGGTAGCATATTCTGAGTGGTTCCACACAGCTGAAATGTGGAATATAAGTAGAGAATGATGAGATAAGAGATGAAAACATAAACCAAGAAGAAATAGTAAAGGACTATTTAGGTCACACCAAGAGGTCTGCACTTCATTTAGTAAGCAGTAGCAAGACATGGAACATTTTTTAAAAATTTTTTATTTTTTTTGGTGAGGAAGATTGGCCCTATGCTAAAATCTGCTGCCAATCTTCCTCATTTTGCTTGAGGAAGATAGTCCCTGAGCTGACATCTGTGCCAATCCTCCTCTATTTGTATGTGGAATGCCACCACAGCGTGGCTTGATGAGCAGTGTGTAGGTCCACAGTCGGGATCTGAACCTACAAACCCGGGTCTGCCAAAGTGGAGCACATGAACCCAACTACTACACCACCAGGCCAGATCCCACCCTCATTTTTTTTTATTGTGGTAAAATAAATATAACATAAAATCTGCCATTTTAACCTTTCAACTTTTTTTAAACTTTTTATTAAGATTATGATAGTTTACAACCTCATGAAATTTCAGTTGTACATTATTGTTAGTCATGTTGTAGGTACACCACTTCACTCTTTGTGCCCTCCCCCAACTCCCTCTTTCCCCTGGTAACCACCAATAAGTTCTCTTGAGTGTAGTCATACAGAGTTCGTCTTTCTCTATCTGGCTTATTTCACTTAACATAATACCCTCAAGGTCCATCCATGTTGTTGTGAAAGGGACAATTTTATCCTTTTTTATGCCCAAGTAGTATTCTGTTGTACATATATATACCGTATCTTCTTTATCCAATCATCAGTTGCATTTTAACCATTTTTAAGTGTAAATTCAGTGGCATTAAGTACACTGACAGTGTTGTGTGACCATCATCACTATCCCGGATGAACTTTTTCACTATTCCAAACTGAAACTCTGGAATGAAACTCCACCAAACAATAACATTTCCCCTCCCCCTAGTTCCTGGTATTCACTATTCTACTTTCTGTCTCTAAGAATTTGAGTATTCTAGATATTTCATATTAATGGAATCATACAATATTGTCCTTTTGTATCTGGCTTATTTCACTTAGCATAATGTCTTTAAGATTCATCCACGTTAACATGTGTCAAAATTTCCTTCATTTTTAAGGTTGAATAATATCCCACTGTACGTATACACCACCTTTTTTTTTCATCCATTCATCCATTGATGGACATGACATTGAAGATTTTTAAGGAGAGATGTGACATGTTCATCTATCTACTTCAGAAAGCTAGCCCTAGAGGGGATTGAAGGATGGCACTGGTGAACCAAGAGAGGAACTTGTTTCAAGAAAGTGAGAATGGTCAACTGGATGGAAGATGTGTAGTAAAATGAGGTCAGAAAAAGTTTATCCAGATGTGGGAAGAGCAGTTGCAGCACAGCAGTGGATAGGAAAGCCCCAGTGTAAGGCAGCGAGGACTAGTTAGCCAGTATGCGTCTGGGGAGAAGTCCTTGCCCACACTACAACAAAATGTTGAGCATTTGGTACCTAGAATTTGGATGTTTTGTACCTTTAAGACAAGGAGGTTGAAGATACTAAATTAGCAAAATATTTCAACCTCCTGATAATTATAAATATACTAAGAGAAATGGTAAAGATAATGGTTTTATTGAACATTTCTTAAGAGGTTATCTTGAAAAAATTCTGAAGAAAGACAACTATGTTAAATTGACGAGAAGACAGTGCAGCTATACATATTACACTTCATTGTAACGATGAAAGCGAAAAAACGGTAACGCACGCTGATAATCACAGATCTAAAATAACAGGATTGTTCTCCTAGAAGGGAGCAATCCATACTTCCCCATCACCACATGGAAAAGCACACTACAAACTGTAATGCTTAACATTGTGGGCAGAGTTAAATTAACACGAGCTAATTTACCCTTGATACTTACAAATCCGGTGCTTCAAATTATAGCATGGAATGATCCCAGCTTTGAAAATTCATTTTAGGGTCTGAGTTATATCCTCTTACTCTAGCTACACTGCTTAAATTAAGTAGATGTTTACTAGAATCCCTTGGTTTTTTTGAACTTAAGGAAAAGAACGCACAGCAGGTTGGAGATACTAAAACTTTCCAACAGGTAACATAATTCTACCAATATTATCTGGAAGGCAACAGAGCTAAAACTCCAGCAGCACATCTTTATCTACGTGTGTGTCATTTCTTTAAGAAGCCTTACTTTGAAACTCAAACACCTATTGCTAAAAAGAATCTGCCAAATGACACAAAAACAGATGTTATTTTGGTCCAACCATTTTTACGGCTTAATAGAAATAAAAAAGAAAATTTCTCATTATTGAATTCACATGAATATTGTCTAAAAATACAGGTTTAAAAAAAAAACCCAAATAGAAGAATAACCTATCAATTATTCTAGGCCTGTTGTAAAGATGCTGCAAGGAAAAATTTATACATTTTATGATGATTTGACATTATAAATCAGAACAAGTTTTGGTGACGTTGAAATAATTTTATTTTTAATGCCAAATTATTTTGAAGACATAGAAAATATTTCCTGAAAAGAAATTTATCTCAAGAATAATAATAACTAACTTTTATTGAAGTATTACTACATGCCAGGCAATGGGCAAAGAGTTCTTATATGTATTACTTTATTTAATTCTTATAGGAATTCCATTAAATAGGTTTTATTTTATTATCCCTATTTGACAGGTGAAGAAACAGAGGCTTAGAAGCATTAAGGAATTTGCCAAACGTGACACAGCCACTAAGCGGCAGAGCCACGACCAAACCCTGGCCTCCTGAGCTGGCAATCCACATCACTGCTCCAGAAACAGTCGTGCCTGGTCCTACATATTTATTTAAAGAGAATGCTGCTTCTCTGTCTGGTTACTAAAAAAACGAGGTCAAGAAAATTTAACAGCAAAACCATTCTTTTACATTAATAAATTACTGAAGCTCTCTTTTGACTATTTTTAATACATAAAGACTTCAGCTGAATTATTTTTGTTATTCTGAAAGGAAAATAAGTCCATGACTTGGCATTGTACAGGCAAAGGTGTGATGAGTCTTTCTATCACCTGTGGTTCTAAAAAGCCTTGATGCATTTCTCTTTTTCAAATTACAGAGGAATTCAGCTTTCTCTACGACTCCTAAGTCTATAACTGAATTGATATCTCCAGTTTTCCTCACTTGTATGAAAAACGATGCAAAATAATAAGCACAAAATAAAATTTTACATTTGGCATAACTTCAGCAGTCTCCATGAACGTGCTGTCCTCATAATAAACAATTTGAAGCATTTGGACAGTGAACATGCATTTCAGGAATAAAGAAATAAGAGCCAACATTCACTTCAAAAATTCTTGGTTGTAGGAGGAGGAGCTCTCTACAATTTACTTTTTCTATTATTATCAAAAATATCATTCAACATTTCTATTTAAGCACTGGAAAAACCACTAACATTAACCCACAAACAAAAACGTTTGGATGAGCAAACTGGCAATAAAAATGGACATGACTATACATCATATCCTTTTCTCTCTCCACGCAGGTAAGAGAACGAATGATTGAAAGAATGATGACTCTTACAATTTCAGGTCCATGCTCTTGATTAATAATATCTTTAATATCTACTCCGTGGAGGAAGTTCAAAGGGAAGGAGAGAAAAGCCATTAAAAGGCTTTAAGCTTCAGATTATGGTAAGGTACAGAGACAAAACGAATTTAGCAAATGCGAGCCCAGATCACAGAAATATTACTAAACGAAGTTTAAAGAAAACGATTCTACATGCCTAAGAAATGCAATTCATAAGGTTAGGAAAATATGAAAAATTTCCCGACTCCACCCTACTAAGGAACAATCGATCAGTGCAGCAATCAGGAAATGCCCTTTCCTAGATATCCAGAAGATCCCTAAGAAACTCACCTCCCAAACTCAGGCGTTGAATCTATTTTTCTTTGGCTTTACCTGCCTACCCGCCGCCCTCCCTTCCCGTCACTCCGTCAGCCGGGCTGGGGAGTAGGATACTGTACCTGGGGTCGCTGCTGGCGACACTGAAGCTCGCCCTAGTAGGTGCAGCTGGCTCGAAGCATCACCACCGTCCCACCTGCTCTTCTTCGTCGTCATCTCCCGGCCTTACACACACGCACATTCACACACTGGCACGCGCATCTGCTGTCAGAGAGGAGGTTACCGCCCCATCCGAGCAAAACCCTTGCTTTCTCTTCCCCAGGATGTAGCCCCGGAGAGGCGACTTTTCCCAAAGCCGAGACAGGTGGAGGCTACTGCTGGGCTCTTACCTCCAGCAGCGACAGCGGTCGCGGCCGCAGCTCCCGCGTCCGGCTTTGAGCCGGGCGGGTCAGGCCCGCCGGGGTCTGCACTTGTCTGGCAAGGACGCAACACTGGGGGACCCCCACCCGCCCCCCGCGGCAGCTTCTGCTAAAGCTGGGAAAGCGCGCGCCCGTGATTCAGCGCCTTTCCGCCGGCGCGGTTACCACGGCGACGCGCGCGCACGCGCACACGCGCCCCCAGGGATGGGCGGGCCGGCAGTCTCTGCCCAGCTCCCAGCGTGAGCTTCTAAAGATGGGCACCCGGGCGACCGAGACCTACCCCGCAGGGAAACACGCAGGAGGCTTTCGGGAAGCAGGGCGGCCTGCATGCCCCACCTTCTTTCCTTTACCAACCCCTTCCCTATCACCGTGGTCCTAACGGGCCCGGGAGACGAGCGCCCCTTCCATTCCCCAGGCCAGGCTGGCTCAAGGGAGCCGTGAGCGCACCACCTGAGTCAAAGATCCCTTGCGAATGTGTCCCCCCAAGCTAAGTCATCCCACATGCACAGGTTACACTCCTCGAACGGGAGCCTTTCTAGGCCCTGCTATGTTTTGAGCACGTGCTGCTTTCTGACTGAGGATGGAAACCGGTGCTGGGAGAGGCCCAGTTCAACTCCATGCTTTTTAGGTTAACTAGGCGCCCGATGTACTTGGACTATGTTTGCATCTAGGGGAAGGTGATAATTTGAACCATAGGAAACTCATGCGGAAGACTCTTGTTTGCATTGTATCCTGTTTTCTTATAATAAGGTGCTCAAGCAACTTGGTATGCTAACATAGGGCAGAAAAGGAAGACAGGGCATTGCTTGCACATTCCCACGACTATGAAAGCATAGTGCAGTGCTTAGCACCGAGTCACACAGACCCTGATGAACGAGTCCCCAGGAGGCTACTCACTAGCTATGGATGGGCCTTGGATGAATTACACACAATCCTGCTAAATAAACCTCAGTTTCCTGAATTATAAAATGGACATAATAATAGCATTCATATAGGAGGATTGTGGGAATTAAATGAGATAATGCACATTAAAATAAAAACCTGTCCAGTATTCAAAGAGAGAAAATCAGTGTGGACTAAAAAGAAAAAGGCAACCCATCGATCAGGCTGGGAAGACAGACACAGATAAAGCCAGGAGCAAAGTTAATAGGAAATATTGTTTCTCCCAAAGTCAGGCAGCAGCTGTAAAATGACATAACCACCCCCTGTGAATGACTACAACTTTCTTACCACTGATTCCCCTTTACTTTGCTATTCCCATCCACAACTGGTGATACCCAACTGCTGAACGCTCCTTGTCGCAGGACAGCACCCAACTCCTAATCTCTGCCTCTCCCAACCTGCCTCGAAAACAGGAACCAATCTGTGATTCCAAAACCCTCCTTGGAATCCCTCAGTGGGAATCCAAACCTTACAAAGGACACTTCCCTCCTTTCTCTTCTCATGTGGCTTCCCACAGGACCCTCAAAGTGCCCTCTCACTGCATCAATAAATTGGATTTAGTCAGACAACAGTCTCGCTCCCAGTGGTCTTTGAATATATATATGAGCTTAGCCCAGAATGTTGAACTATAACATCTCTTTGTTAACTCAGAGCCATTATAATGAGCACCTATTTTGCTACACATAATGAATCTATCTATTTTGGTACTGAATGAAAATGTTAGTCGGCCTCCCTAGGACACAGATGTGAGGCTGCTATCTTTCACTTCTCTTCAGTATTCAGTGGGCGTGCACTGAGCCCCTGCTACCTGCCAGACACTGTAACAGACACTAAGGATGAAACGATGCATCCCTAGTACAGCCTCTGACTTCCTCTCTCCTCGTTAATATGCTGTTGGTTTGCAGGCATTTGAATTATTAAGTTGCATAATAAAAGACAAAGAACTATCCTATTTTGAAGGTGGGAGAAACTGAGGTCTGGCAAGGTTCAAGGACATCCCACATCAGGGGTATAGATGGTACTTAGCCTACTGAAACAGAAGATTCTCAGTTGGATTTAACCAAGGAGGGGGGTAAGATACGCAAAACTATTATACTGGAAGAACTTGAGATTCGAAGTAGAAAATTCAAGATATTGCAAATTAGTAGGTTCTTAATTGTTTGAGAACTACTGCCCATGAAAGCACATTAAAAGTGATGGATTGTTCCCATTCACTTGACTTATAACTTGTTTCCTACATTTTGTCACTATAAGCAGTAAATGGAAAGGTATTTCACTTGGATGCTGTGAGTCATAAAGGAAATGATACTCCTTTCATGGCTTTAAAACAATTTGATAATTCTTTATTTAATCTAATACACACTACTACATATTTTATTTTTTATATTTAGACTTTCATTCATCTTTTTTTTTGAAGAAGATTAGCCCTGAGCTAACATCTGCCATCAATCCTCCTCTTTTTGCCGAGGAAGACTGGCCCTGAGCTAACATCTGTGCCCACCTTCCTCTGCTTTATATGTGGGACGCCTGCCACAGCATGGCTTGACAAGCAGTGCATAGGTCTGCAACCGGGATCCGAACCAGTGAATCCCGGGCCACGGAAGTGGAACATGTGAACTTAACCTCTGCACCACTGGGCTGGCCCCTAGATTTTTTTTTGTAATGTGATATGAGGTGGGGTTCTTCTGACTTATTCTTCCAAATGAATATGTAATTTATGCCCCAAACATCCTTTTCTCACAAAAATGAACTACTGCCTCCTTAATGTATGCTAATATATTAGCATTCTCATTTTATTTTGTATTTTTTTGCTGAGCAAAGACTTGGCCTGAGCTAACATCTATGCCAATCCTCCTCCATTTTATATGTGTCACTGCCACAGCATGGCCGCCGACGAGCGGTATAGGTCTGTCTGGGAACCAAACCCAGGCCTCCAAAGCGGAACATACCAACCTTAACCACTAGACCACAGGGGTGGCCCCTCATTTTATTTTTAATGATTATGATTAACATATAAAACTCCTTTCCATCGTCACTACAAAGGGAATATTACGTATAAATTCAGCTTGTCTATTTTTCGGTGTTTTAGTTAACTTTGACACCCCTGATGAAAACAAAGGTCTGCCGCTTCTCATTCTAGTTTTTCCCACTGGCTTTCCTTTTTTTATACTGAGGAAGTCAATATATTCTTGGTAATTCTTGGCAGGGTAAGAAGCAACATGGAAAGCTCTTTACTTCCACACAAAGGTGAAACAGCAGCAGTAGAGCCAGAAACAGGAAGCAGGCAAAAACTTCAATCCCATCATGGGCACTAAAACATACTAAGACAAAGTATAAACACGCAAAATCCTTTATTTAAAGTACATTTCTCTTATGAGAAAAAAATGTTTCTTTAAAGCACCTCTTGTGTACCTCTTGTAAAATAATTCAGTTTTATAAGTAGCAAAACTAAAGGGCTATTTCTCTTTACACATTTATTTTTCTCTTAGGAAAAAAGTCCAATGTTGCTCTAAAACTGACCTTAATCATGATCAAACCTAATTTGCCTCTGTTAGTGACAGGACTACAAACATGAATGAGTTAAAGAATTCCAAATCATGAGAGTTCATTTAAAGCTTACTAATTATGTTCTGTGAGCTGACAAAAATAAAGTCTGATATAGGACAGCTGTCATCCACTTAAATGCAGATGATCATGGTTTTTTCATTTAAGATTATCTGAATTTGTAAAATATTAAACGATCCAGTTCTAAGGACTCAGTAACTTATTTTTTCATTTGAAGATTTATGTAAAATATTAACTATTTTGGTTCCTGATTTTAAAAAAAAAATCAAATACAAAGGCTAGCCCAAAGACAATGTGGCCTTGCTTGAAATCCAGCTGGCACCTATGAGCACTATTAAAAGCTCTGATTGCCTTTTGTGCCCTTTCATTAAGAGGCCTCATATTCTGAACACAGGTATGCTTTAGTCTAAATAAACATTAATAATAGGCCTGAAATCTGAGGATACAATCCACAAAATAAAATCACAGTAGTTTCTTCCTCTGTTACAACAATCCAGTACAGTAATTCCTCTATATTAAACCTACCTTTCCAGGTAGGTAGAAATTATATTTGGAAAAATCCACAACAAAATTACTCAGAACACCTAAAACTCATATTTGGAAAGTATTTCACAATATTACATCTAAGTTGCACAGAAGACCCCAGTGATCACTAGGAAATCTACCACAGTCCAGTTTTTCCAACCCAAGGAGGTCCAAACTCCGGGGAATAATGTGGCCATCTCCTGCTGCTGCTCTGAAAAATATTCGATCAAAACGAAGCTTACAAGTAGCAGGTATTCCAAGATTAGAGTTCATTTGTGTATCCCATGTATACTGGCAATGCTTAGGTTTGCCCAAAAACTCCCAGACATCCAAAATGTTGTTGGGTAAACCACCACATTTGGTAACCTGAAAAGAAAAACAAAGAAAACTATAACATTCACTGTCTTTTTTCCTTTAATTTGAAAAGGTGTCTTTACTGTTACCACGTTTAACTGCAACATTTCAAGTCAGAATGTCACAATTTATTAATACACAAATGCAAAACTAGGTATGTTAGTTATAACTAGATATATTATGAAAACTATTTGCTGCATGGTAATAAGTAACATAAAAAGATTGACAGCCAGAGAAGTCTGGAATTTGCCCCTTCTCTTCTGCCATAACTAGTTCCTAGCTTTGAGTGTCAGATAAATCTCAGAAGGCTGAAAATCCACGGCCTTGGTTATTGCTTTTAGTAGTTTTTAAAAAAATGAACACAAGTGAAAAGAAGGCAAACTATTACTTTAGTCTGTAAATTTACAAGTATACTCTTTATATATCCAATAATGTCAACTGCCTTCAGTTTTATTTGAAATTTACTAACAATGCTAATACTTCCTTCTGCCATTCACACTTCAAGAGTTTTAAAAACATTTTATTGTGGTAAAATATACATAAAATTTACCATTTTAATGTGTACAGTTCTACAGCATTAAGTACATCCACCTTATTGTGCAACCATCACCACTATCCATCTCCAGAACCCTTTTTTATTTTCCCAAACTGAAACGCTGTATCTATTAAACACTAACTCTCCATTCCACTCTCCCCACTTCCCTGACAACCACCATTCTATTTTCTGCCTGTATGAATTTGACTATTCTAGGAAACTCACTTAAGACGAATCATGAAATATTTGTC